TTATAAAGAATATCTCTTTGGATTTGAGACTTTAGTCTTTGCAACTTTACAGATCTTCTTTATGCACCAAGAGCTTGGAACACTCCAAAGAGAAAGGAAAACTTGAAATCGCATCACATGACCCCTTTAACTAATCTTTTTCGATTGACGCCTATATTAGATAAAGTAGACAATTTGAACAAGTTTTTTTCATATATAAATTAAATAATATTCCTTACCTTTGTGAAATGAACTGAAAAAGAGTGGTGATCAGCTTTGCCTCCAGGTTGTCAGCGGGAAACTCCAGCGCATGCGTGCCTCGTGCTCACGAGCTGATTTAAACCGCGCATTATAACAGGAAATGCTTGTAAATTGAAAACAACTCATTTTCATCATGTTGGATTCATTCAGTATTCTCTCTGTTTGGAATTATTCAAAAAGAATAGCTAAAGCCTTAACAACAAAATTGAGTAGATTTTATTCCAGCAATTTTTTATTAAGTTTAATTTAAAAAAAAAAAACAAGAAATTAATTTTGTTAAAGTTTACATATTAAATTGAGTGAAATCTACAAACCCACAGAATGACTTTTTACAGTGTAGCGTTTTACCTTAAGGCGGGCGTACATGGTGCGATTCTGAAGGTCGGAAGGTCGTGAGCTCTGGCACGTCACGATTGAGTTTATCCGAAAATCGTATGGAGGCAGTCACACACGACACGAATTTACTACGATTTTACAAACTCTGACGTAAGCATTACGTTTCGCGCCATTCCTAAAAATATGGATTCTGAGGACGAAATAGTTTTCTTTGTGGCAGGGGGGTTTGGGCGTAAAAGCATGGACTTTCTGTTCTTCATAAAGAACTCGAGGGACTTTGAGAGGGGCTTTAAATATGAGACAGCAAAATGCACGGACAAAACTCAAAAGTATGTGTATTTCGATTTGTGGGGTGATATTGTGGAATAGATTAAACGGATATATCAAAGAAAGTGTTAATATGTTGCAATTTAAAAGTAGGTATAAAAGATTTATTTTGAAAAAAATACAGAAGTGGGGGTGAGAGTGAGAATTTCAACATTGTTGTTAATGCTGCTCGATTTTGTTTCTGTTTGTTTTATCTTAATAGATAAAGTAGGACGTAATTTGGACTAGTATTTTTGTATTATTCAAAATGGTATGTCTGATTTATTATGGCTGATTGTGATTTGGTATTGGTAATTACTGAGGGTAGGATTTAATAAGCCTAGGGCTTCTACCTACCCTTTTTTTATTTCGAACAGGTTGAATATATGTAAAAAAAAAAAATAATAATTTATACTTGTAGATTTTTTTTTTTGTTTGTTTATTGGTATTTATTTGTATATTTATTATGTGTTTTTTTTCCTTTTGTATTTTTAATAGTTCGAAATAAAAATAAATTGAAAACTGAAATTGAGGGAGTAGGCCATTTCTGAATTCCTGCTCGTTTTGCCGGAAATACAACAGGCATATTCATTCATAAAGCTGAATGGCAAATTTGGCACATTCGGAATAACAAATAAAAAATAGAACTGTATAATTAAACTAAAATGATTATAGAATATGGTTTTTGTCATCTTCTGATTGGTCAACTTCAGATGGATCGCCAAATCGCCTCGTTCAACCGCACATACGCCACGAATTTAAACAGACCGCATCCGATTTTTTTTGACATGTTTGAAAATTATCGGGAGGACGGGAGGTGCTCGTAACGTCTCGGATCGGCCCGTAATTCTTCTCACACGGTACGAGCCGCGACCATGCGAGCATCTGCGATTTTCTCCCGAGAGAAAAAAAATCGCCTGCGAGCTCTTACGACAGCAAAAATCGCACCGTGTACGTCCGCCTTTAGACCCGCCCTGTGTTACCTGTCATCAGTCCGCCATTATTTCGACACTAGAGCAGATGTAGACAAGACCCTAAAAATCATATCAACTTGTGGAAAATGGGCATCCAATGACCCCTTTAAAACACCACCATGTCTTGCAGAGAACTGAAAACGGTTCGTTTTTTTTTATTTTATTTTTTTACCAATCGTGATTTTTTTCATATCCG